AGATAGATAGATAGATAGATAGACAGACAGACAGATAGATAAAACCAACATGCATGCATTCATTCCTGGAGACACAGAGACACTCTCATGAAATTCCAAAGTCTGAGAAGATACTCTGACTTCCAGAGAGAAGAGGTTGGTACACCTCATTTGCCCATAAAGTGGGAAAAGATCTATTTTGTTCTATAAAACTACCTTCTCCTTCATACGAAGCACTCCTGTGAAGCCGCGCTGTTTCATCTCTGTGTAAATAGTCTTTCCCATCGAGCAGGACGTAATGAAATCCTGAACTGTGTACTACACTGGGTAGGTTTTGTTTTATTACATCGTGGAAGAAGGGGAGGGGTGGGGGAGATAATTTCAGTAATAAAAAAGAGAAGGCTCCTAGGTGAAACTTCGGTGATATTAAAAAACTGACGCGCTCATTACTTAGCAGATGGAAGTTAATTTCAAGGTGAGCCCGGAGCCTAAGAGTCACAGAGCAGAATGGATGTAGAGGGTCAGCGCGAAGCTATCTATGGTGGCGGCAGAGGGCAAACCTCACCAGCTCTAATCCTACCATGACGGGGCGGGGACTGGGGACCCACCCTTAATTGTGAGTTAGCAGGTTAAAGCAAATCCACCACGTGAGCAAGGTCTCAAGAAGGTGGTTCGTACCTAAAACAATTCCACACACTGTGTCAACCGTCATCGTATGTTTTTTTGTTCAGAAAGATGACTCCTGATCATTATTTGTTCTCTCTGTTCTTGTTACCAACTATCCCTCTGCTGTTGCTTTGTTTTTAGGAAGACGCACACTCTCCCCTTTATTCTGTAGTTCAGGATTGCTCTCTCATCCTCTGGGACCTGACATTGCACGTCATGCAGAAATAAGATCGATGTGCAGGAGAGTGACGGGGATGGTAATGGCGTTGACAGTAATAACAACAGTGACACCTGCTGATCTTGATTGAGTTTTTACTGTGTGTCGAACTGATTTAATACAACAACCCTAGCTTGTGTGACAGTTCACATTTAGAGACGAGGAAGGGGAGGCTCGGAGGAATTACCCAGCTCTCCCAGATCACGTCACTAATAGTCCGAGGGTAGAGGTGGAACCCAGGTCTCTCCAGATCTAGGGCCCAAGGTTATAACCACCATGCATGACGGTCCAAAATCCTGATTGGCCATGGGCGACAAGTGCAGAGGGGCATAAGGGGGTAAGACGAATTGGCTTATACACCTAGGCAGCTCCTATTGTTTTCTTGCTCTGGGTATAAAAAAACCAAACCCTAGAACCCTAGACTTTTCTGCTGGTTTGACTGTTGGAGAGGTTGTTCTTGTTCTTCGTTTTTTGGTTTTTTGTGTTTTTGAATTTGCCTTCAGGATCCATTTGGAGTTAGAGAGTGGGTGCCGGGAACCTTTGATGCTGGAGGATCTGGAGAATCCTGCTGTTTATCTCTACTGTGCATGGAGGGTGTCAGGGACAGAATACAAGCTTTACAAATGCCCCAAGATCAATGGCTGTTACGAATCAGAGCTCACCGGGACTGAGTCCCATACACTTGCAAGCAGTTGTGAGCAATTTCAGGCCGACTGGAGCCAAGTTTATCAATGTCCGTGTTTTAAGATACCTTTCTCTACCGAATATGCTTGACAAGATTGCACACCTTTAAGTAAAAACGAGAAGCTGAATGTCTTTCGAAGTCGCGTAATGGTTAACGATGCTGAATGACCCAGTAGCGAGAAAATCAGGCCAAAAGAGTCAGCCAGCTACTGTACGTCCCTGCAGTAAGTGTGCCAATGAATAATATCACTCTCAGAAAGCAGGAACGGCCACCTGAATGGCGCGTGATTGTGGAACTGAAATGTCACATCTGGTTATATCATTTTGTCATGTTCCTTAGAATACAGTTTTAAAGCCAGTCTCCTGCCTAGATTCCTGAGACAGGATGTTCTGAGCCATTTTCACATCTCATGTCAAACAGTGACAATGTGAGGCGTTAGGGTTTTTTTTTTTTATATTAATGTAAAGTAGGTTAAAAAAATAACTTACCTTACAGGGCTGACAAAGCGCTCTAAGAATGAGTAGCTGATACACACCATCCCACATTTTGGTGAATCCTTGTCACGAGAGATTTGGTTTCCAGTAAGTACTCTAAATGTTAAGGAGCATCAATATGCACCTTAAGATTTTATGGGAAAGGAAGGAGCCGTGTTGTTCAAACTCCCTTGCTCCCACAAAGGAGACCAGGTTGACCGAAGGTGGTTTATGAGACTAGAAGTGTTTACCCATCGCAGGCACGCCGTGGTCCCGTGACTCACATTTGT